CCCCCCCCCCCCCCCCCCCCCATATGAGTTGGATTGTGGCAGATGATTCTGAAAATAATTCTGGTCCTTTTGGTCGTGTAATTAATTCAATTACAAAAGCCTTTGACTATAGAATTCCAGCCTTTCATTGCAACCCATGGGTTATAAGTTTGTTGGAGACAGAGTTGGTTATGACGTATACTTACTTTTATTACTGTAGCCCTGGGATCATGCTATTGATTTTCAATAGAGCTAGTAGCCACGTTCCTCTTAAGATTCTATCAATAGAAGATGGCACAGTTCTCAAAGCTTTCAACCATCTGCTTCATCGGAACAAGAAAGTGGACTTCATAGAACAATTTAATGAAAAACTTCTTGTGAAGCAAGAAAATGAGAATCTTCAAATACTTGATGTAAGTAAATGTTCTATTGGTTTGTAATTTTTATGATGAACATCTTGAGCGATTTGCTAAGTTATTTTTATGGATGTTGTCACTTTTTATAGGTTCGTAATGCTGAATTGATGGAAGTTAGCAGATCTGAATTTATGACACCATCAGCTTTTATCTTTCTATATGAAAACCAATTGTTTCTGACATTTCGAAACCGAACTGTGGCTGTCTGGAACTTTCGTGGGGAGCTTGTGACTTCATTTGAGGATCACCTGTTATGGCATCCAGACTGCAATACCAATAACATTTACATTACCAGTGATCAAGATCTCATTATATCCTACTGCAAAGCTGATGGGGATGATCATTGGATGGAAGGAAATGGTAATTCTTAATCCTATTCTCTGCCAAGATTTAAATCTTCGGTTCCACCATTGATCAATATGTGTTTCAAGAGCTGAAGGTGGTATTAATTTGTTTCCATCAGCCAACTTGAAACTGTTTTCTGATGTTTGTCTCGTTTCATGTGTATGATGTATGGATGCCAGAGTAATAGTGAAAATGAACCCTTGTGATTATTTTGTTATTTCCTTGCATGCTTTGGTGCTTTTCCCAAAGACATTTCACTGAGGATCAATCTGTATTTTTGTCTGTCTGGGGAGTCAATTCTGCAGCATGATAATCATGGTGGATTAGAAATGTTGTGACCTAGAGATTTATGATGGCATCATCCTTTATCATAACTGTCTTCGAAAATTTTATTTGTATCTCTTAACCAATTAGTTGAGTGAGATTCCCGTGTACTACTTGTCATTAGTTAGGATTCCTTCAATGAGTGCCTGGATTGAGAAGAAGGATTTCCTGTAGGATCTGGTGGGGGATCCCGTTTTGTCCAATGGTAGATTATGTCCAATTCTACTTTGAGGGGATTAGGTTTGGGAAATTTGCTTCTTCAGGATGTGGCCTTGCATGCAAAACAGTTGTGACTTTTCCCCTTAAAACCAGGCTTTCTAGCTCAGGATTATTGTGAGCAAGTATGATTCTATTGATCAACTGGGATCTAATCTTAGGGTCAAAGGCCTCAGAGATTTGCAGAGATCTTTTGCTTTGGGAAACATGAAAATTTCCTCCTGTCTTAGGTTCCTTGTCAGGGATTGGTGGTTGATTTTCTTGTCGGAGGATTGTTGATGAAGAAAAAAAAAAGCCCCTTTTACTGTATCTCTTTCCCATCTTTATCACCAGTCTTTGCCGAAAGGTTATGCCCATGGCATCTGTCCTTGTTATTTCTAGGGACTCTTTGGACTTTGGTTTTGGCTGGCCTTTGATCTGTAGGGATTGGAATTTACTACATTTTTTTTTTGTGGGGTGGGTGGTGATCTTGCTTGAATAAATAGAAGTTGGGTGGGTATTCCACCACTATGATCATCTCTGATTTGGTGCCATTTATGTTTTGATGCAGCTGGTTCGATCAATATCAGCAACATCTTGACTGGAAAATGTCTGGCGAAGATTAATGCAAGCAATGGAAACCCCAAGGTTGAGGACTGCAGCTGCGCTGACATTTCAAAAAAGCAATGCAGTTCTTCACAGATGAGAAACACAGTTGCAGAGGCTTTGGAAGATATCACTGCACTTTTCTATGACGAAGAGCGTAACGAGATATACACGGGTAACAAGAACGGTCTGGTACATGTGTGGTCTAACTGAAGAACTCATTTTTTTTATTTGTTTTCCTTTTTCTTTCTTTCTTTTTTTTTTTTCACTCCTGAAGTTTGTTTTAACATTGATCGAACTGATGATTTGATGATGATGATGATGATGATGATGATGAAAGGTCGGTTTATACTAATGCCAGATTCGATGGTAGAATAATAGCTTGTGACAGTAGTTGATAGGTGTGTTTGCATTGTAACATTAATAGATTTTAATGTGTTATGGACCCTAGTGTAAAAATCTTCCTTGGCTTTACAAGCATAGTCAACAATTTAAGATTTCTGTCACTGAAGTTTGCTTATGATTAGTAAAGTGTAAAACTCGAGTATAATTTAGAAGATTAGTCGATGACCAAAGTATATTTCTTGTTGAGGTTTGAGTTCGATGTCTATTCGACTTTGACTTTGTTTCAAATGGGATCATTTAAACCCATGAATTTAAGGGGAAATGGTTATAAATGGTCTTTTTAAGTTCATTTGATTAACTTTATGCTACTTTTTGGTGAATGATATGATATAATTACTTGGTAAATTATATTAACTTTATACTATTTTTTTTTTTTTTTTTGGTGATTAGACTGTTTTGAGTTTTTAAAGGTCACTGGGGAAAAAGGAAGAAAAAGAAATAAGGAAAGAAATGACATACACGCTTGGGGTGGTTGCTTTTAGGTAAACTTCCTACCTGTCTCTACATCGAAGGAGATTGACTTTGAGAGTTAGTCTAGTCAGTAAGAGGAGGGTAGAAACCATTTGTACTTCTACAAAGAAAATGCGGGCTTCTTCGATAGAAGAGTATTTTTCTTGGCAAATGGGTATTTAGGACGTTTATGTGATTGTTAAACCTCCTACCTATCTCTACACCGAAGGAGATTGGCCTTGAGAGTTAGTTCAGTCAAAAAGGGGAGGGTACAAACCATTTGTAGTACAAAGAAAGTGTGAACTTCTTCGATACAAGAGTTTTTTTTTCTTGACAAATGGGTATTTAGGACGTTTATGTAATTGTTGTAAGTCTAATCAGTATTATTTAGAAGAAATCAATTATAGGCACTAATATAATTAGTTCTTTTTTAGAATTTTAAGAATGAAACGATCGATTTTTAATCTAATGACTTCCTTCTATGTCCAACTTTTGTAACAAGTCCTCCATATAAAACACTAAAAAATGAGGATGGACTCTACATTAGACTTACTTGTACCACTTCTTTCCTCCATTACTATCTTCCAATTCCTTCAAATCTATGAAGCAGCAGCCAAAGTGAGCTTTATCATACAGAGTATTAAGATGAGACAACAACAAAATTCTTAATTTAAATTCACAAATACAAGTTGAAGTGCTTGCATTCACCAAGATGATGACAAGTTGACCAACTTTTTCAGATTACCACAAGAAACAAAACATTTCACATTGCACAAATCAATTAAGCATCACATCACATCACATCTATTACCATTTTCTATATTCTCTCACATTCTTTCAGCTGTCTAATACTGAGACTTGTCGAGGCTGTCAAAGTACGGATGCTCTAGAGCTGCCTTCGCTGAGATTCTATCTGCCGGATTATATGTAAGCATTTTCTGCATTTGCACGAAACAAAAAACAAATTAATACATAAGAGAGCATTACATTGCAGGCAAAACCAGCAATTAGTAGTACTAGATGGAGAAGAACCAAAGGGCTCATAGACCATTTGATCCACGTTGCAGGCTTGCATCTCTATAACAATCTATGCTCATTCTAGAATAGTGGCTATAAAATCTTTCTGCAGATTAAATACTAAAAGGAAACTGAAAATCATTAACTAAGATGGTGAATTGGATATAAATGAAGATTCTTACTTCGAAGTAGTATCCGAGCAACGAGAAAAAAAAGTTGTTCTATATTCTCTGTCATTGAACGTCAAATGAAATTCATGGACAATGAAGGATAAATGAAATGGAAGTTTAGGATGTATCATTGTACAGAGAAAAAGAAAAAGAAAAAAAAAATCCTAGCCCTACATTCCTGATGACGGAATGAATAATGTTTCACCTTATTCAAGTATGTTGGATAGTTTCTTTTGATATTGTTAACCCTTGCCTAGATTAAACTTTAAAAGGATACAAAACTCTCGAATTGAGATTTGAGACTTGATGATCATGATGAGCTTATAACTAGATTCTAATCTTGCACTGCTGTCATGCTTAGACCAACCGCCCAAGGTTGATAACAGCAGCTTAGCAATGTCATCAACAACGGTAACAAGATCCCCCACTAAGGTATGGATGAAAATGTACTTTTAGAAGAATAGCTAGTTTTGGTTGATGAACACCTCAGCATTGACCTTTCTCTAATGATCTAATAAAAAGTAGATAGGCCATATCTTCCGGAGGACCAACCTGATGAAGAAGATAACGGTTGGCAGCAGGAAAGAATGGAACCTTCGAGGAACATTGGGTGCCTCCACAATAGTTGAATGAACGGTAAGGTACATAAGCTAGCATAGTATCCTCTCAATTCTATTTCGAAAGACATTGAGAGACTAGATAGGAGAGCACTTTTAACAGTAAGAAAGGTGTGACTTAATAACCGATATAAGTAGATTTTCTAGTACTAGACAAGGGGTTAACTATGGATGACTTGCATAACAAAAGTCTACTCCTGAAAACAAGATGGTGTAAGTAGTTTCCACTGCGATAAGAGGGTTATGGCTTAGAGGCATCAATTGCAATCCAAACGAAAAAGGGATGCTGAGTAGCTGCTATAAAAGCTCCATCCTTATGAAAGATGAGTAGCTACTATAGGAATTAGACAAAGTAGTCATGTAAGAGGCAAAGCCCACCGCTAGCAGAATATTATCCTCTTTGAGCTTTCCCTTTCGAGTTTCCCCTCAAGTTTTTAAAACGCGTATGTTAAATAGAGGTTTCCACACCCTTGTAAGGAATTCTTCATTCCCCTCTCCAACCAATGTGGGATCTCACAATCCACCCCCTTGGGGGCCAACGTCCTCGCTGGCATACTGTCCGGTGCCTGACTCTGGTACCATTTGTAACAGCCCAAACCGTTAGCATATATTGTTCTCTTTGGGCTTTTCCTTTGGGATTCCCCTCAAGGTTTCAAAACACGTCTATTAGTGAGAGGTTTTCACACCCTTATAAAGAATGCTTCGTTCCCATCCCACATCAGTGGGATGTCACAAATTGAGTTTCACAGATCTGATAAGATGAGAAGAAATTAAACTTCAGCAGTGGCATATCAATGGATCAATCCCAAGAAACCAAGTAAAAATGTGACCTCCACCCTGTTGGTTATCTCAACGAAGAAGGTAGTTACTTTAGCTCCTAAAAGTTGAAAGGCAACTGAATAAATTCACTCCTATTTTTACTAGCTTCAGCTTCCATCCCGGTACAATTGATTTTGTTTCTAATACAACAAAATCCTCTGCTAATGAGTGCCCAAAACTCTGCCACAATTGTTTCTGTAAGGCTAAGAAGTTACCCAGATAGAGTTAGTTCTCTGACGGGTAACTGTTTTATCGATTTGAGCAATGTTCAAAAGAAGTTCTTAAAATATAAAGTAAGAGGAACAAGCAAAATTACCGAGAGAAGGTCAGCACCCTCGGGTTCCAGGGATGGAACTGCACGTGTCAGATTCTGAGGTTCCCATTGAGGATAGACATGCCAGTCCCGCAAAGAACTAACTCCAGGCCACTGTTTCTCGGTGGGGGTACCTAGAAGCCTATGAGTTAAAACGTCAGACACGTACAGGACTACGAAGCTGTACGAGAAAAAGGAAAAGGAAATTAAGTACCTAAAAATGTGGAGCAACTGCTGAAACTCAGAATCTCCGGGGAACAGGGCCTGCCTTCTCACCATTTCAGCTGGCATTTTAACGAACAATGGATAGAAATTAATGAGTAATATGATCGATCAATAAAGACGAAGGAAGCGGTGGCTAATTGACTATTACGATGATGGTAAGTGTAAGGAATTACCGAAGATGCAACCAACAGACCACATATCGACAGCAGTGGAGTAATGAGTGGATCCAAGGAGAACCTCAGGAGCACGGTACCAGAGAGTAACAATCTCATGAGTGTAGCTCTTAAGAGGGACAGTAAAAGCACGGCCAAGGCCAAGATCGGCAATCTTCAGAATACCCTTACCCTGATCCAGAAGAAGATTCTGCGGTTTCAGGTCACGATGGAGAACGCCATGACTATGACAATGCGCAACACCCTTACAGAGTTGAAACAAGAAACTCTGAACAAGGGAAGAAGGAAGAGGCCTAGGGTTGGGTCCCTTGCGATGCGAATCGATGTACTTCTTGAGATCAGTATCCAGATACTCAAATACAAGGTAGAGAAGAGGCTTACCACTTTTATGGTGGTGAACATGCTCAACGCAGAGAAGACGAACAACATAGAGAGACTGAGAGAGCAATTGGAGAAGAGAAACCTCACGAAGCGCCGTCGGTGGAACTCCTTCTTCGTCCATTTCAAGGCGAGTTTTCTTCAGAGCAACAAGTTGGCCAGTTTCCTTATCTTTGGCCTTGTACACCTTCCCGTAAGTTCCTTCTCCGACCTTTTCGAGCTTCTCGTACTTCTCCATGGCAGCTGAAGATTCCGATTCTTCTTCTTCTTCTTCTTCGTGCTCTGAAAATGGATTGAAAATGATGAACTGATTTTCTGGATCGGATCGTGAGACCGAGAAATTGTGAAAAAGCAACGAACCCTAAAATGGCTCTCAAATTTCGAAGACGCTCCCTCTCTCTCTCTCCACTTTTTTTCAAATTTATAAAAAAAAAGGAGGGAAAAAACACAACCAGTTAGATCCATATATGCCACGTGGCGCCTCCCAGTGATCTGGCTGTTACTTTGTCTTTTCTTTGTTTTTTTTTTTTTTAAATATCCAAAAAAAAAAAACACTATTTTTTCCCTCCCTAACTCGGTTGCAAGAAATTGATTTTCACCTTTATTTTCTTTATAACACAATTGAATTTTTTGAGAAATTAAATGGATAAGCATACATATTTTAGTAGCGTTTCTTCGAGGTGGTGTAGTTTGGGTGGAGCTTGTCGATCAATGTCGGTTGGTTAAGTATAGAGTTATACCCCTCTAATAGCAAATAATCGAAAAAGTTCGTGTTTCTGGGTAGTCGTCCAGTTGATTTTCGTTACTGCTCCAACACTGTCTGCGAATAGGGGTTTCGAAAAAGTGATAGCTTGTGTTGTTGGTAGCCGCATAGTTGATCATCACTGCCCCAATACAACAGTTGGAGAAGTGGGGTTTTAATAAATCATAGTTTTTGTATTGTGGGTAGTCGCACAATTGATCGTTACCGCTCCAACACAATTATTGGAGTAGTGCGGTTTCAGGAAATAGTAGCTCGTGCTGTGAGTAGTTACCCAGTTGACTGTCACCGCTCCAACACAATTATCAGAGAAGTGGAGTTGTAGGAAATAGTAGCTCGTGTTGTGGGTAGTTGCACAGTTGATCGTCACTGCTTCAACACAATTGTCGGAAGAGTGAGATTTTAGGAAATAATAGTTCGTGTTGTGGGTAGTTGCATAGTGGATCGTCATCGCTCCAACACAATTATTGAAGAAGTGGGGTTTCAGGAAATCGTAGCTCGTGTTGTGGGTAGTAGCACAGTTGATCGTTACCACTCCAACATAATTGTCCAAGAATAGGAGTTTCGAACATTAATATCTCGTGTTGAGGGTAGTCACACAGTTGATCACCATCCTCCAACACTGTTGGCAGAGAAGTGAGGTTTCGGGAAATGATAGCTCGTGTTATGGGTAGTCGCACTCGTTATTGCTCCGACGTAGTTGCTAGAAAAAAACCATTTTTTTTAAATAGTAGCGGGTTAATGGTCACCGCTTCGACATAGTTGTTATAAATGGATTAAATGTAGGGTTTTTTTGTCAAGAAAATTTTCGAGGCTTGGCTATAAATAGCCGAGCTCAGCCGCCGTTTGCCCTCCACTCACAGACACGGAGCCCTAGACCAGCCGCTGCCCCATCCAGCCACTCGAGCCGCACCACCCTCCTTTCTTCTCCTCACTCCAGCGTTTGTCTTTCCTCTCCTCCGACCACCGCACGCCGCCGTCCACCTCTCGTCCCACGCCAATGCTGCCTCTCCTTCACGCTCGGCCGGTCAGACCGCTGCCGGACGAGCCACATTGACGCGGGACGCCGTTGCTTGCCAACCTGTGAGGAAGAGCCGCCGTCCACCACTGCCCCGCGCGTTGCTCACGCTGCTTCACCAGGCCGCCGGTCACCGCCGCAGAATCTTTGCCAAGCTGCAAGGAAATAACGGTTAGTTTTGCAAAGACTCCGAATTTTATGATTGATTTCGATTTTGAGTTGTGACGTACCACTCACATTCCCTGCACCAGCCCGAGTGATCGAAGATGAACTAAGATCATATCCGACTTTCTAGTAGGAGTATGGCGAGTAATAAAGCCCTAAGCCCTATAACTTTTAGATCGTTGTGCTATGTGTAGTTTAGATTGGTCCATAGGTATTCGAGTGTACCGACATGCTTCAATCAGTTTTTTTGTTTAGTTCTAACACAATAGATTGGTTAGAAGAATTAGATGCTCGAGCTTCGGTTAGAATATATGTCTAAATCAGCCGATGCTCAAGTAACTAGAGTCAACAAAATTTATTGATTGAACTATATCTTCTTTTCATGGTCTGGTTAACATGGATAGACCCACAAATAAACATGAATCCAAAGATCAAAACCAGTACTTATTCAACAACCCAGCATAGCCATTGCTAGTTTTCTCGCACGGTTAATCCTAAATACATAATGTTACTCGAATACCTTTAACTTTCCATGTCGCTCACTTAGTTATCGACGACTTCAATTAGGGTTGTCTCGTAGTCGCTTGGAGCTTCATACCCATGGAAATTGATAACAGTTGCAGCAACATTGGCAAGCCCTCCATCAGGAACATCCTTACGGAATCGGACTCCAGGGGCCAGTCCCGGACCTCCAATTGCAATAGGAACCTACAGTTCAAAGATCCAATCAAAACAAATTCATGACACCTTTCATTGCCACAAAAATCCCCCCAAGCGTTTCCAAACTGTTTTGAAGAATGAACAGCTTCTATAGAACATAAATGGCACTATTATTCTTCAAGCTTAAGATAAGTGATTTCAAATGCACCGTTACTCTGAGATCCTACATCGGTTGGGAAGGAGAACGAACATTCTTTCTAAGGGGGTGGAAACTTCTCCCCAGTCGATGCGTTTTAAAGAGCTTGAGGGAAAAGTCGAAAGGAAAAGCCCAAAGAGAACAATATTTGTTAGCGGTGGGTTTGGGCCGTTACAAATGGTATCAAAGCCAGACACTGGGCGATGTGTCAGCGAGGAGGCTAAGCCTCGAAGGGGGTGGACACGAGGTGGTGTGCCAGCAAAGACGCTAGGCCCTGAAAGGGGGTAATCCTGAGATCCTACATCGGTTAAGGAGGAGAACGAAACATTCTTTATAAGGATGTGGAAACCTCTCCCTATCAGACGAGTTTTAAAAACCTTGAGGAGAAGCCCAAAAAGGCAAGTCCAAAGATGACAATATGTGCTAGCGGTGGACTTGGGATGCTATAGTCACTCTTCGATCAGTTCTTGAAAATAGATTTAAAAACAGATTTGAAAACAGAAACAAAGTACTCCAAAGAGAACCTTATTTACAATCCCTACTAGCTATATGTTTCTCTTGGTTCTACAAGTAATCAAGTACCCATATGAAATTTACTGGTAAGAGCCAAACTTACTGGCTGAAGAGTGTGAGAGGTCAGGATTTGAATTTTGCCATTTTTGTCAAGAAGAGGCTGCCCCGACTTGTTTCTCTTCACCATGTCCTCTGCATTTCCGTGATCTGCAGTGACAACGTATATTCCCCCTACTTGTTCGATTGCGTCGAGGATAATCTGCAACCATACTCTAAAAAAGTGAGCAAATGGGGAAAGGATGACAAAAACGATTAATGGTACAGGCACGAAACTCGTGACTCTTTGGTGGACGGTGTTTTTCAGTTCGCGATGCACTAAAGAGCAGTAGCCATCCAAGGCTTAAGCACAAGGCACAAAAGAAAAAATGTTGAACATTAAGATGAAGAGAAAGTATACGAAAATGAAAGAAGCTAGGCTTGAGGTGCACATCACAATTAACGGAGCCTCACTTCTTTGAAATGAGGCACAGAGGTCGCACCGAGCTTAAGGCATGCACCTCTGCGGGGTTTTTAGAACATCGCTCGTAGACATGGACATAGAAACAAAAAGCTTTGCATGCCCGAGAAAAAAGAATGCCAGAATCAAATGTCTCAAGCAATAAAATCACATACTTTTACGGCATCATCAGCAGCCTTGCAAGCTACAACTGTGGCCTCAATATCACCAGTGTGTCCGACCATGTCACCGTTCGGCAGGTTAACACGTACCTATTTCCAACATGTGAACCAACATGCTAACAAGTTAGAACAAAATCAAATTAAATATTCAACTGACAAGTGAAAAGCTCATTGAGTACCTGATGGAATTTTCGGCTAAGAATAGCATCTCGTGCCTTCTCAGCAATCTCTATGGCCTTCATCTTTGGCTTAACATTAAAGGTGATCCCAGAATCACTAGGAATCTCCACATATTCCTCCATTTCTGGGTTAAAATATCCAGAACGGTTTCCATTCCAGAAGAATGTAACATGGCCAAACTTGACGGTCTCACTGTATTAGGGAGGGGAAAATAGTTCACATCACAGTTAGCCAAGTATAGCTAAAATTGCATAAAACTAAACCTAAAGAGTGTGAGATCCCACATCGGCTGGGGAGGTGAACGAAGCATTCTTTATAAGGGTGTGGAAACCTCTTCCTAGCAGACGTTTTAAAAACCTTGAGGAGAAACCTGAAAGGAAAAGTCCAAAAAGGACAGTATCTACTAGCAGTGGGCTTGGGCCGTAACAAATGGTATCAGAGCCAGACACCGGGTGAAATGCCAGCAAAGAGGCTGAGCCCTGAAGGGGTAGACACGAGGCGATATGCCAGCAAGAACACTAGGCCCCCGAAGGGGGTGGATTGTGGAGAATCTCACATCAATTGGAGAAGGAAACGAGTGACAGCGAGGACGTTGGGCTCCGAAGGGGATGGATTGTTAGATCCTACATCTGTTAGGGAGGTGAACGAAGCCTTCCTTATAAGGGCGTGGAAACCTCTCCCTATCAAAGAAAGCCTGAAAGGGAAAGCCCAAATAGGACAATATCTGCTGACAGTGGGCTTGGACTCTTATAAAGAGGATTATAAGAGGATTAGTAATTTTACAAAAACTAAAACTGACTTGTGCACAAGAATGTTACACAGATGCAGAAGTATATGAATATATAAACCAATCAGATCTTAGTACCAGTCAAAGAAACAACACATAATAGCTTGGCTACTGCTCACCTGCAAGCAAAGGTCCGAACACCATTGTGCACAAGATATTCCCCAGATGTTCTCTCAATCTCTGGGGGGGAGACAAGGTAATGGCTTGGAAGCTTCAACTCACCATCATACTGAAGCATTCCAGCATAACGAATTTTAGGGACCCTAACTCGGTCAAATTTATCAAAATCTTCATATTCGAGGGCCTTGGCGATCATAACCATCCGATCTGCTCTAAAATTAAAGGTGACTACTGCATCTCCATCCACAATTGGGCCCACAGACTTCCCGCTATCATCAACTATGACAAATGGAGGAAGATACTGATCACTTGCTTTGGTTTCCTCTCTCAATTTCTTGACAGCTTCAACGGCACTTCTGAACTTGTATGGTGCTTCGCCAAGTACTTGTGCGTCCCATCCTCGCTTCACAACTTCCCAATCATTCTATAATTTGAAGTAACAAAAACAGTTGGGACTTAGATAGAATGATTCTAACAAGCAATTTTCCACACGTACTAACGAACGGTAAGCTTACTATTCCGACTATGGCATGATATGATTACAGATTTATAATTATTTGAAATGAATATTTTTCAATGTTTAACATACATATAGACTTTTTTTAAAAGCATATGGCATATCATGACCCACGCTCCTCACTCGTTGCAAATTGGTGGTATTGAGATCATACAAGAAAAATTACTCGGACAAAGATGTACCTCATATCGATCCATTGTCACATACATACGGCCTCCACCAGATGCGATTTGTGCATCGACCCCACTCTCACGTAGTTTGGCAAGGTCATTTTCAAGAGTTTCTACAAAGCCCACACTCGAACCATCCAAAACATCACGCCCATCAGTAAGTATATGGACACGGATTCTTTTAGCTCCATTCTCACTTGCTCCTTTGAGTAATAACTACATAGATCAAAACGTTGATAAGTGCGCATAAATGACAGACTAACAAATTGGAGAAACAATATGAAAACTTAAGCACTTACCTGTAACTGATCTATCCTAGAGTGCACTCCACCATCACTCAATAATCCTATAAGATGCAATGTGCCGGTTTCAAAGGATTGCTTGATGTATTTGAAACCTTCTCCGTCGTATATTTTTCCAGAGGCAAGAGCAAGGTCAACAAGCTTTGCACTGTATTCAAAACGATTTCATCTCAAGTTTCAGAACTGACAGAAAATCAAATTCTTCCTTTGCTCTATTGCTATAAATGAGTTTAAATATGCTTGTTACAATTTAAAGAACCATAATCTATACATATTGCTAGGGAGGAAGCTCAAGTCTACCGTTAGTAGATATTGTCCTAGTCCAAGTCCACTGTTAGCAAATATTGTCCTCTTTAAGCTTTCCCTTTTGGGCTTCCCGTCAAGGTTTTTAAAACACGTCTACTGGGGAGAGGTTTCCACACCCTTATAAAGAATGCTTCGTTCTTCTCCCCAACCACCGATGTGGGATCTCACAATCCACCCCCTTCGAGGTCCAGAGTCCTCGCTGGCACTCGTTCCCATCTCAAATCGACGTGGCACCCCCCAATCCACCCCGCTTCGGGGCCCAGCATCCTTGTGGGCACACCACCTCGTGTCCACCCCCTTCAGGACTCAGCCTCCTCGTTGGCACATCGCCCGATGTTTGGTTCTAATACCATTTGTAACGGCCCAAGTCCACCGCCAGCAGATATTGTCCTCTTTGGGCTTTCCCTTTCGGGCTTCCCCTCAAGGTTTTTAAAACGCGTCTACAAGGAAGAGGTTTCCACGCCCTTATAAAGAATGCTTTGTTCTCCCCCCAACCGACGTGGGATCTCACACCTTTCATCAATTACTCCAACTTTCAAATATTGTTTTTGTTTTTCTAATAGAAAAACATCTCTCTAGTTTAGCAACCGAGCAACAGTACAGGAATATGAATAATGTGTCGTTTATAGTCTTAAAACAAGTACTTTCCGCCTCTACTCAATAACTCGCACAAGATTTCTTCTACTGCCACAGGTAAGATGGAAATCTCTAATTCCCAATCAGATAAACATAGTGAGATGACTATCCATATACCAATAAAAAATGCTGCAAAACAATGAGATCAATAATAAGATAAGCTCACCCTTGAGCATAGATACGTCCAGCACCAAGCGCGTTATGTCCGACCTCGCTGTTGCCCATGTCATCTTCTGTAGGAAGTCCTACTGCCTTTCCATGTGCCCTGATCAGCCTCCATCTCTCAGGGGCGCCCTATCAGAATCAGTAGATAATCGATCAATACATTCAAAAAACAGCCAAATGAATATTTGGAGGTCACCATTCACTCGTTTAGATTGAAAAAAACCGCCAAAATCACTAAAACATTGCAAAACAGCAAGAAAAACCTCAAAATCTGAGGGGAAGAACACCATTTCTAATCCAAAATCGGTACCACAAACATGAATAGACGAGGACGAATCCATAACATTAAACTACCTTCTTAAGGGAATCCATGGTGGGAGTTTCGGCGACATGGATACAGTTATAGCGATCAGGATCAGCTTCGCCCCACCCATCCAAAACAATAAGAGCTACCGTCTTATCCTTAGGAAGCTTAGGATGATCCGGCAACTTCCACGAGAATCCAGAACTCCCCATCGATCTCCGATCAAATTAGCTCCGAAAAACAAGAACACACTTAAGAAACCATTACAGACGAACAAATCGCAATTAATAAGCTACTAACCCGGAAAAAAAAACAGGGGAGAATCGAATCCATGAAGCAAAAGAAAAATCGAACAAGCAACTTACCAAGAACGTAGAATCAGCAGCGAATCAAAAGGCCAACAGGAGAGGTAAAAGCCAGTACCCGACCTTTTTCAGCACAAATCCAACCGAACGGGGATATAAAAGAAGATCGGGGATTGAAAATGGAGGACGCCTAAAAAGATGCTTCAAGAACGCAAGCGGATTTCATGCCGTTTGATCCAGAATTTGTGGGGATTGAATCACTGCCTTACATGTCTTTGTCAGTGTGTTAGTTTTACACCTCTCCGGGACGACACTTGTCACACCTCACGGCTATATTTTTTCTTTAAAAAAATTAGCACTTTATTAGTATTATATTGTCGACCCAAAAAAAGAAAAATTAATGTATATTATTAAAAAAATTAATTAATTAAAATATTCTCAAATTTTAATTTAAACTATTAAATTTTTAATAATTTCTTTAAATTTCTAATATATATATATATAAAACAGAGTAGAGATGTGGGGTATCAAACTCCGTACTCTTGCATGCATGTGAGCTATATCCCCTGTTTGTTTAATGGTGTGGAAACCTCTCCTTACATACGCGTTTAAAAATCGTGAGGATAATGGCGATATGTAACGGGTCAAAGTGGACAATATTTGTTAGCGGTGAGCTTGAGCTGTTACAAATGGAATTAGATGTAGTCACCGAACGATAGGATGCATTAGTTGGAGTAGGGCTAGACCCTCTCCATAATAGACATGTTTTAAAACTGCGAGGCTGACGACAATGTGTAATTGGTCAAAGCGGACAATATCTATTAGCGGTGGGCTCGAACAGTTATAGGAAACTTGTAATATTTTTTTAAAAATAGTTTCATACAATTAAAAATGATTGATGCAATCTCGATGTTTAATCATAATTTGGCCCAAATAGTTTCAACTTAATTTTAATTTAGTCGCAGTAAGGTTTAGATCTAAAGTGGTGATCCACACGTAAATAATTTTAAATTTTAAATAATTATTTGAAAATTTCGATATTTATAAATTTATCGTCACGATTTTGTTAAATTACTAATTTCGTTTTACTGTAATAGAAACGTTATAAGTAAATTTGGAATACAGAGTAAGCTTAGAGGGGTTGAGGAGACTTAGGGACAAAACGGGTTAGATTGAGACAAATGACATTTGGGCTAAAACGTCACATTGATCGAGGTTGGAGTGAATTATATTGATTCTAAATACTGAGTAAGTGACTCCACTACTAGACCCAGAAGGGTCGAAAATAAAGAACACGTGCAAATATTGTTTCATACTCGATGAGACCTAAAATCATGTACGTAACCTTAGGTACAAATATCATTCATGGGTGGGTTTGGATGCATAGTACTTATCTAGACACGATTTTATGCACATGCACATATAAGTTATCCAAAATAGTAGCGATATTGACCTTCTCTAGCCTTAAGTACATGAGAAACGATTGTGAAATGGTTCAAAATGGTACTACTGAACAAAAAATAGCAATCAAAGCCGACTTAGCAAATAGAGTCGAGGAGAGTGGTTTCAAATAGTGCACGGGGGAATCAATTGGATCAAATCCGGGGCAATAAATTTTCTTTTGATATCATTAACTGAAAGAAAGAAAAACTCGTCCACAATAATCTCTTGCCACAAATATGGCTCGTCCGGTGTCCTGATTTTAAAAATATTGTAATAGTCCAAGCCCACTGTTAATAAATTTAGCCTCACGTTTTTAAAATGTGACTACTAGAGCTAAGTTTCCACACTCATGTTTCGTTCTCTCTCCAACCAATGTGGGATTTCACAATCCACTCCCTACGAGGCCAGCGTCTTCGTTGGCACACACAACTCGGTGCTTAACTTTGATACCATTTATAAACAACCTAAGCCCACCGCTAGTAGATATTGTCCGTTTTGGTCCGTTACATATCGCCGTCAGCCTCACAATCTTTAAAATACATCTATTAGGAAGAGGTTTCCATACTCTTATAAGAAACGTTTTGTTCTCCTCTTCAACTGATACGGGATCTCACAAATGTATTATGAGAAATGGGATAAGAGGCTTGAACACGTTGCCCGTGCCAAAGACGACCCAAATTCTAATTAGTTGACTTATTTAAGGGTGAGAGTAAGTGCGGTAGAATCGCATTGCCATGCATGGTTTTTTTAAGGATTTTTAATTTTTTTTTTAATAATGGAGTTGAAATAATTTGTAAATAGAAAAACATACGAAAAAAAGGGGAAAAAGTAAACGACATGTCGATAAGATGATATAAAAATAGTCGATTGATGACGGTGGATTGATGAAAGAGCAGTTTTGTAGCGGAGTAGAGCCGTCTTCTTGTTGCTCTACGACTCTTTTGACGATCAAAGGCTACCAGAAGAGCTACTGGGAGAATTCCTTCGACGGTGGAAGTTTTCCGGTGTGCTAATTTGCTTCAACGATACGCAAACGCATCTTCTTCCGCTGCAAACAATCGGAGGAGGAATTTTCAGCAGGGAAAACTTCAACTGAGATTTTGAATCGGAGAAGAGAGCCAAGTTAACGGCGGAAATGGCTTCCATGGAGGGTCTGGTGCCAATAACCAGGCATTTCCTGGCTTCCTACTATGAAAAGTACCCATTTACGCCTCTATCTGACGATATCTCTCGCCTCTCAACTGAGATGCTCGCCTTGGCGAACATTTTGCTTGATGAACTACCGCCTACTCCAGGTTTCGCCATTGACTTGTATCTTAATGCATTTTTGTTTGTAGGTTAGGGCACGATCTCGCTGGTTGCTGATGGTTTGAAGCTGAGCTTGTTCTCTTTTAGATCTCTGCTCCTGCTTTGTTCCTTAATGTGATTTTAGAGTTTATTTGCAGTTCTCGCATGTGTTTGGCTTGTTATGCTTTTAGAAGTTTATTTAGTCTATGCTCGTCTCATGATCTCCACCATTCAAGTTGGGCTCTTGTGGATTACGACTTGAAAATTATGTTTTTGATCAACTATTTAAAGAAACGATATGAAAAGATAATTGAAATTTAATTTTATTATTGTGTACGCAGTCATTATGTCACTGAAGTTGGTTATAATACAAAATTATATCTAGATCTATTTCGTGACCAGTTCAATTGTTTTCACCTTCTTGTTTACTCTTTAACAATGATCATCATATTGGACGAGTGTTCGCTGTTAACCACTTCATTTTAATTACTAGTTTTGGTGTTTTTCTTGTGGGGATCATCCTCATTTCAGAGGAAAGCACCCTTCTTGATGAAGCAAATCATCCTCCTCCTCATAAAATTGATGAGAATATGTGGAAGAATCGGGAGAACGTGGAAGAAATCCTGTTTCTGCTTGAAAAATCTCGTTGGCCTCAAGAGGTAAGATTTGTGCGCCAAAGATGCTTATGTACATAAGTCCTAGCGTTGTTGTATCATAACTTATTTATATGTTTACATTGCAGGTCCAGAAGGAGTCTGCAACTGGCGAGTCTGAACTTGCTAATATTCTAGGAAAGCTAGAAGAAAAATTGAAGAATACCTTAAAAGTGTTGGTGGATTTCCAATCTAAAAATTCTGAGCACGTGTTCAACACAGGTTACTTTTCATACATCATTCATTATTCAAGAGGAAGTCCTTTTGAAAGCGTATCTTGTCTATAACGTTTCACCTATCATTTGGTTGATTTTTTTGATATGTATTGTTATTATGAAACGATGTAGTTTGGTTGGAGATTGTTGATTTTTCTATTTTTTTCTGACCAATAAGGAACTGTTGTATTACAAGAAACTGAACAAGAGGAGAAGAATAAAGAATTTGTAACCAACACTAAAGGAGATATTAAAAAGGATATCCAATTGGGTTCAAGCCATGGTAGCATCTAGGATTTAAGTATCCTATTAATTACCTTAGCAAATAGCAACCAAATAGATTAGGGTATGGTGGTTGTACTATGAGAATGATTGAGGTACACACAAGCTTGCTTGGACACCCATGGGTATAAAAGAAATAAAAGAAGGGATATCCATCTGGTTTGATAGAAAAATGGATAGTGGACTATTCTTGGGGAGCTCTTTGTATAGTGGGCTATCTAGAAGCCAAAAGGGAAATTATAGCCCTCTGTTTCACTTTTACCCAATATCCTTGAGATCCCAAAAGCTTGAGTTTGGAAGCTGGACAGTTGCGGCTATGTCCATTGTTAAATTTCGCTTTTCTTGGTTAACTCTAGGGAAACCAATCCTCTCACCTCATTAAGTGTCCGTGCAGTCTCAAGGTTCTTATGAAGTGTATAGTTTTCTTACAGTCGCTAGCTCTAGGATTTCTGAATAATATTAATAAATTTCAGATCAGAAATCCTCTTGCTAGCATGGAAATTGGGATTGTCTTTACAGATGTAATCGGGAAAAAAGCAGCCAATCTATCTAGATCTTGCTTGTTTATGGGGCTTCATGGTCCAAGTTGTTGGATGTCTTTAGCTTACCGCTGGATTTTCCTAAACACCCTCAAGACTTGTGATTCAAGGCTCGACTATTCAGAGGTCTAAAATTAACTATAAGGTTTCCTGGTTGATGCATTTGTGCCTTACCTCAGAGCACTTAATTGTGGATAGGAAAAAATTTCATTCATTAAATGAAATGGTACTAAAGGGAGAAGCCTATCTAAAGAAATCACAAAAACTTCTCCAATTGTGCTTTATTTTGGAAAACTTGGTTGGTGTAAATGCAGTTGTGTTATACTTTGGAACACTTGTTGCAGAGTAACAGAGAAAAAATTTCAAGGAAAGGAGAAGTCTATATTGAATATGAGATGTTATTTTTAATCCTCTTTTTGGTGCCTTAAATTTAACTGTTTTGTTATTATAACCTTTCTATTTTGATGATTAATCAGAGGTTGTTTTTGTAACTCCTAGATACTTTGATGTGCACTCACCTTCTCACACATGAATTATTTTGTTTCTTATTTAAACTAAAGGTCCAATCTTATTTTGCAACTTTAATTTTCTAATTTTTGGACAATTTATCATCATTATGTGCTTTTGTCCGCCAAAGATCATGTTCAATATAGATGTACTTGAGAAAGTTCCCTTGTTTTTACCCTTTCTGTAGCCTAGAGTCTTCTCCAATTGTTGTAAAACCCTCCAACAAAAAGATTTTTTTTTTGTTAAAATGGCTTTTGGGGAGTTGTTTTGAATTTTTGTTTCTCTCTACAATTTCTTTGAGAATTATGATTGGGGTAATTTGGTGAAGGTTTTCCTGTTCGCAGTTAGATTTTCATTTGTTTCAACCAATACTTCAAAAACGTATTCGAATTTTATTCATGGTTTTGGGGTGCAAAAGATCTGAAGTATTGTTTAGTGCACCTTTGGCTTTTGAGGTTTTGACGTTCCTTCTTTGTTTTTGGGCTTTCAATGGGGTGTAACCGTAGATTTTTCTGGGGTTCTTGGATGGCTGTTCTGATTTGTGTTGGTTTCCTTTTCTTACACTTTTTTGCACTTTTTTTTTGTAATTTTCTTATTGTATTCTTCAGAAATTGATATACTTAATTGTTTCTTATAAAGAAAAATATATTTGCAGTAATGACCTACATGCCTCAAGATTTTCGAGGAACAATAATTCGTCAGCAAAGAGAGCGATCAGAGAGGAATAAGCAAGCAGAGGTTGATGCTTTGGTTAATTCTGGAGGAAGCATACGTGATCGATATGCCCTTTTATGGAAACAACAGATGGAGAGGTACCTTTTGTTTGATTTAATTTCCTTCATTCTGGCTGAGGTTGTAGGTGGCTTTATAATGAAGGTCGTAGTTATTGATTACTATTTCAGGAGGAGACAGTTAGCACAGCTGGGTTCTGCAACAGGTGTCTACAAAACCCTCGTGAAGTATTTGGTTGGAGTTCCAGAGGTACAAATTCTCAGTCAACTGTTCATACATCTATTTTGCTCCCTGGCCAACAACTATAACTACCACGTTTGTTAACAAAGAAAGTAATGAGAGAATTACTCTTCCGCCTTTCAGTAGAAAAGCTCCCTGGCCAACAACTATAACTACCCCACCACTACCATCTGCAAAAGATCAAAGAAAACCCAAACACTGTAGAAACGGTGACGACTTGAAAAGAAAAAACCGAAATAAGAATGGAAGGATCTGAAAATCATTTTAAACCTTAGAGTAATTCCAGACTTAAAATTCTACCCACCTGTCTCCAAGACTGTTTTGTAGAGGATAATATCTTTTTGGAGTGTGCTAACTGCTAATATTTTAGCTACAAAATGAAATTATGTACTAAGATTTTCGTAATTACCTTCGTTTACTAATTTCTACCGAGCAAAGCACTTTTATGTAAGCTCCTTGGGTATTTTGAGGTTGTCTACTCTTTTTTTTGAAGTTTTTCATTGTTAATATATATTGTTTCCTATCAAGGTTTGTGTGTGTGGGTGGGTGGGTTGGGGGGTTGAACATGAGGGTGAAAGAGAAAGAGCGAATGTCAGATGTAACTAACTAGCAAAACAGGAGAATTTATTCATATAGAGGCAAAAGAGAGTTCTGGAAAAATCTTAGTTAGGTTGGGAGCTTCACCGTATGTCATGGTCTGTAATCTCTTCACTTTCTAATGCAGGTATTGCTAGAATTCATTCAGAAAATAAATGATGATGATGGGTAACTTCTTTGTCTAAGATTTATCTATTTAAATTCAATTATTATAAATAACTTGTTTAAAGCAGTCCCATCCTTGCCTTTTCAATTAAGAGTTGTTGAGCTTTTCAACATACTACACTTTAGGATAATGTATGAAAATCAACAGGCCAATGGAAGAACAACGACAACGCTATGGACCACCTTTGTATAAGCTTACAACAATGGTCCGCCTTATTCGACTCTTTATTTCATTATCATGGAGACGCTTTGATGCTAGGAAACTGTATGAAATCCTTCTTTTCATGTTACAGTTGTTCCTTAAATTGTAGCATTTTTATGTAAGGGGTAACTTATTGTTTCTTTTTCCTGTTGAGGGAACGAACACTCTGGTTCTGTTTTTTGCTTTGATGGTTTCTTGTGGTTATTGAGCAGAAGGGATCATCTTGCTATTTTGGAACAAGCCGTTGATGTGTATGCCTCTGAGCTTGAGAGGTTCCTCGTCTTCATTCGGTAGTATTACTGTCTCCAGCATATTTAGCTTCCTCACTACGTTTAGTCCTTTTGGATACTTTGAAGGCCCACAATGGGTTGCATCTCATGGATAGTTTTCATCGATTATTGATTTGAAACTTTCCATCAGTTGCTTTAAACGTTAATTTCTCTATGAAAGCATAAATATATTGAAATTATATAATTGAATATTTCTTTTGGGGGGGTTGTTAGGAATCACGATTCTCCACAATGGTATGATATTGTCCACTTTGAGTATAAGCTCTCATGGCTTTGCTTTGGGCTTCCCCAAAAGGCCTCATACTAATGGAGATAGTATTCCCTACTTATAAACGCATGATCATTCCCTAAATTAACCAATGTGGGACTCTCCAAATAATCCTCAACAATCCTCCCCTTAATTGAGGCTCGACTCCTTTCTCTGGAGTCCTGGAACAAAGTACACTCTTTGTTCGAGACACTTTAGTCACTTTTGACTACATCTTCGAGGCTCACAATTCTTTGTTCGATATTTGAGGATTCTATTGACATGGTTAAGTTTAGGGTATGGCTCTGATACCATGTTAGGAATCACGACTCTCCACAATGGTATGATATTGTCCACTTTGAGCATAAGCTCTCATGGCTTTGCTTTGGGCTTCCCCAAAAAGCCTCATACCAATGGAGATAGTATTCCCCACTTATAAACCCATGATCATTCCCTAAATTAACCAACGTGGGACTCTCCCAATAATCCTCAACAGGGGTGTTGGGTATAGTGGTATGTCTTGGTTGTTTGTATGTCAAAGGTTAATTCTTGAATAAATGGATAAAAGAGGATGTATTGTTCACAATGTATGATGACATAATATATTCTACTGGAATTCAAGTGGGCTAAAATTTGAAGGAAAAGCTGTATTGGTTCGAAAAATGTGATTTTGCAAAGAATTATGTTTTTTATCCGTCCTAATTACTCTTGCAATGCGATTGACTTTAGCTGGGAGGCTCATTTGTAAATCGTAATGGTTGTCGGTCCTATTGTTTATTGGTCCTTTTGGCTGTCTTTTTCATAGTAATAGCTATTCGAGGGCTCTTTTATCCTAAAGAGAGAATTAAAAAGGTGTGTCTTGATTAGTGTTTCTGTCATTTATCAATAGAATGTGTTTCTGTTTCCAAAAAGATAATTTCACATAAGCTCAGCTAGGCTATTGTATATTGTAGTTTTGGTTGTCAGTATCTCCATTTTTTATTGATTTTTGGTCCTCATTTTTCAGCGAGGTTTTCAACAATGCTCCATTCTTTATTCCAGCAGATGTGAGGTAATTGACATTTTTATGTGTATATATCAATAGTTTTCTTCTAGAAAAGGATGCTTTTGAATCTTCCACCATTGAGGCCCAAATGGAAAGGCTTCTTTGCTTATTGCTGACTAAAGCTCAACTCTCATCCTTTCCACCAACAATTTTAACACTGACCATGGAACATTTGGATTTATTAATATTTCATCGATTGATGAAAATATATTAAACAAAGAAGAAAGAACACAAGAGGATTAACAAGGGCTGAGAAACATGATCCAACAATGAAAAAACTGCAGCCCAAAAGGAGCCAAAGGGGACCTCACCTAATGGCCCAGGAAATGGCTCCCGTCTAAGAGAATAGGAAACTTAACGAATAATTACAGAAGCTTTCGGACACATGACGTCCAAAACAAGGCATTAAAAGGACCAAACCTCGTCCCTTGATCTCTCCATGCCCTTAAAGAATATTTTATTACTCCCAATCTAAATCTAATCCATAATGTTAACACCGGGCGTGAGACCTGTCACACAGAATTTGACCTTATTTAAAAAATATGATTGTTGCATAAAATCAATCGAAGATAAAAAGTTAAGTGTTCTTATTTACTTTCTACCGATCTTTTGGTTTCGCTCTCCCTTTATCCATCCCTATAATCATCTGTCCGTCCGTCAATCTCTCTACAGGAAAGGTGATAGCTACAAAGAGATTAGTGTTCCAGCTGGAAAGACTTATGAGGTTTATTTTTTCTTCAGCATCTTCCTTTTATTCTCACATTTTTCTTATTTTCCGATTCCATCAGTATTGGATTCTTTTCCCTGAGAAAAATAGGTAACAATTTATTAATTGTCGTTTAAAGCATTCCAGAAGTCAAGGGTTCCGTAGAAGAATGTATTTTAAGTTTATGAGTTTTGGTCATTTGGGTTTCTGATATTAATTTATCACTATTCTTATCTTTTACTCTCTGTTTGATATTGATGATATTCTGTCCTAGTCCAGATGTTAAGAAGTTTGTAATGACATCACGTTTTTTTAAGTTAAGTAGAGAAATTCACTGGTTAATAAACTTCATATTGGATACACAGAAATGGATGCATATTTATTTAGTTAGCATTGAACTTGATTTGCTTTTCATTTTTAATTGATCTTTAGGTTGGTTGTTGAGAAAAGAATGCTAAATTATTAGCAGTGTAGTTTCATTACACAATTTAATCACCCAGCTCGCAGTAATTTGTAAAAATATTATATCAAATTCTGTTGGATGCTTCATATATATATATATATATATATATATATATATATATATATTTGTATTTTTTGTCTTGGAACCTGTTTTATATATTTTCATCTGAGTGATTTTTTTTTGTTTCCTGTCATTTGCTTTGATGATATTTTTTTTGTTCAAGGTATAAAATATATTAAATATGGATTAATTTTATAGGTTTCATTAAGTGTGGAATCTCTCAATTCATATATTGCCTGGGATTTCTCGTTGGTTCAAGGCAAGATGAATATGGTACAACTTCTAATTCCCAAACCATCTTTTGACTTGATTGTACCTTTTCTTTGTCGCATACTTAATGCTCTCTAGGCATCTCATTTTATCCTGATGATATATTTGTTAAGCCTTATTTATGTTGTTGCAGAGTTATTTTTGTTTTCCTCTAGTTTAAAATTAAGTGAATTTTATTCTCTTCATAAATTCATTCTAGCATTCATCTAGTTATTATGTTCTTGGCAAGTTTCGCATTGCTAATGAAGCTATTGAAAATTACAAAGTGCTTGATTTGGATGGATTATTGTTAAGATTGATTTTTGAAAGGTTTACTATAATATGGATTGGGTCTTCTAGATAAGGTTATCTGAAAGAAAAGCTTGGGTTATTAGTGGAGCACTTGGATGAGGAATGAATCTTTAATTAACGAATATCTATCTATTTTGGAGAATGGGAGGCTAGGCGAAACTTGTTAGTACTAAGAGTATCAATTAGGCGATCCTTCATCTCTTTTCCTTTTCAATTTTCATCATGGTTTGTCTCTATTGAGGAATACCTTTTAAATCGAAGTCCTCAACAATAATCAATCCATCGTATCTAAAGTTCTATAAATTGCAAATGCTATTGGATTTTCTTTTGCAACTATTCATTAAATTAACTCCCCAAAGTTCTCTTGGATTGGAGCCCCTCCCTAGCTCATTAGGCCCAGTCCTTGTTTGGCTCTTTTTGAGCTGTTACTTTTGTAGATCTTTTTTTTTTTTTTTTGGCAAGTGTTGGTGTGAGATCCCACATCGATTAGAGAAGGGGATGAGTGCCAACGAGAACACTGGGTCTCAAAGGGGGATAGATTGTGAGATCCAACATCAGTTGGAGAAGGGAACAAAGCATTCTTTGTAAGTGTGGGAATCTCTCCTTACCAGATGCATTTTAGAAAATCTTGAGGGGAAGCCTAAAAGGAAAAGTCTAAAAAGGACAATATGTGCTAGCGGTGGGCTTGGGCTGTTAGAGTTGGCTTATATTTTTTTATTTCTTTTCCTCAATGAAAGCTTTGTTTGTAATATTGATGTATAGATAATTAGATATAGATACATAGATATTTATATGCTCGCCTTCCCCTTTGGCCATTTTGTGCTTATGAACAATTAAGAATATAACAAAACGACGAGTTTCTAGAAAGCTATACATTGTATAAATATATGCAATTTTAGTTCAGATCCGCCAGATTTATGTTCTTTAACGTGGCTGGTTTACGCCATCATATAGTCATTTTGGTTGAACGATCATATGATCATACGTTCTTATTGAAATGGAGTTGCACTTTATGCTTGCTCAGGACATTGGATTCAGTGTGGAGTGTGAAAGCCCTGGTGGGGGAAAGACTGTAAGTTGATTTTCTTCCTAGGAAAGTTCCTAGTTTTTCATTTTTCTGATTATTTAATTTGATCAGCTTTGGTTCTGCTTTTCATGGGTTTCGTACTGTTTTTCTTGCAGTTGATATTGCCACACAAACGTTACGAGTCTGATCAGGTGAGTTTTATGTTAACATACAGTTGATGTGAGGTTGAGAATTGAACATATATCAATCTTTGAGATGGTTATTGGAGTCTTGTCCACTGAGCTTTACTCGAATTGGCAATAGGCTACGTGCGGTTTATTAAGCGTCGAAATTACTAACATAAATTGGTGGGAAATGTCATTAGGGAAACTTCTGCACTTGCATTGCTGGGGACTACAAGCTGATTTGGGACAATACATATTCAACCTTTTTTAAGAAGGTAACCATCTCTTTCTTCCAGTTGCCTTGAAGCTTCATTGAATCGAAAACGACTTTGAATGGATTAACAGTTGATTTCTCACCGTGCTAGGTTGTGCGCTATAAGGTCGATTGCATACCTCCTGTGGTAGAGCCATTGCAAACTGCTGCAGAAGAAGATTAAGTGTCTCGAGCAGTCACTTCACTCCATTGTAGACAACGTTTTTTAGATTGTAACATACATTCATTGTTTTTATAGTATCTTCGTCTCGAAGTTTGTGTTTGTTTGTTCGCACGTGGACTAAATCTTGTAAACAATGCAACCAACCAGTGAAAGGAATTGCTGTAATTAAGGAAATATGCCATTTAGTTACATGATAATAGCATCAAAAGTGCTTCTAATCCTTCTCTAGTTGATGAAAAGCACTTTTTATCCTTCATTAAAAGTGGTTCGTTTGGAACGGGATTGTGATCTCTCTCTCAAGTGCAAATTCAGACATATGGAATGAGCATGGAAACCAGACTTGTTCCCGTCATGTTCTTCGTACAACAAAATACAGTTCAAAGATGGTCGTTTATGAACATCGAACCGCATCAAAGGAAACCAAAACTGCAGAAGAGTGCCATAATGCAGGAATAACATAAGGTTTAGGTAAAACTATACGTTCGCTTAGCAGATTCCAGTGTGTTGAGTAATAGCATAGCAACCGTCATCGGTCCGACTCCACCGGGAACTGGCGTAATAGCAGATGCCACCCTTGATGCCTCTTCGTAGCAAACATCTCCTATTAGTCGGTACCCATGCTCACTGCTAGGATCCTGGGCATTGCAGAGTTATACTGTGAAATAATATTTTTGAAGAAAGCTGTAACAAAGATCAAAGTTTTTTAAAAAATAACTACAAATTCTGAAAAATGAATTGAAATTTGAATAATTAACTAATTGATACATTATTCTATCCTTAAAAATCAGGCCCGGGGCTAAACGAATTAGATAGGACTTGAAACTAATCATCGAACAATAATTCGAACAGTTCATTGTACTTCGATTGTTGAAATCCATTGTTAGTAAAAGAAAACTGTTCTATTTGTTATGATTAGTTGTGATTTCAATTAGACATTCAGTTTCTTTATTAAAAGTTCACACAAAGAATTCATATGTTAAGAAGTTTTTTTTTTTTTTTTTTTTTTTTTTTTTTTTTTTTTTTTTTTTTTTT